CCTAACAAGGGGGGCCATGTGACTGGGGAAATGGGACAGGGTCCTTCCCTCTCCCCAGCAGCTCCTCTGATAACACCATTCACTGTCAGCTTTGGAACTGGGCTGCAGGGGGCGCCATTCCCCGAAATCCTGTAGCCGGACTTCCCCCTCCATCCGCCCCCTTCCATACATTGTAGAAGGGTCCCCAGCTCCCAGCCCTTCCCTCCCCTTGCAGCCCCAGCGCCCCTTTGCAAGAGCCAGGGGCAGCCCTTTCCCACCCTCCCACTCCCTGTTTGCCCCCCAGGGTCGTCTGGTCCTCTCCAACAAGATGGCCCGCACCATCGGCTTCTTCTACACCCTCTTCCTGCATTGCCTGGTCTTCTTGGTGAGTGTCCTGACAATAAGCCAGGGATGTCACCATGCTCTGCTGACCTCCAGGGCAGCAGGACCCTGATACTGTGGCCTCCTCAAAGCCACACCCTCAGTTCTGAGCCACTCCTATCCCTTGGGTCCCCATCCTGGGGACAAAGAGCACTCCAGACTTGGATTGGATCCTCTGACTAGGGCACAGCCTGGCCACTCAGGGGAGGAGGCCTGGTTGACCACAGCCACTGACCCAGACCTGAGGGSCTTGGTGGAAAGAAAGGCCGCGGTGGGAGCCTGAGGCAAGAGGGACCAGGCAGGTCTAACAAATCCCCCAGTGACTGCCGTTGGCTGTCCACATCTCCCCAAGTCAGGGGGGCACTGGAGTCAGTGGCCTGGGGATGCCTCTGTGTCTGCCACAGTGGGGAGGAGAGGGCCAGCCTGTTGTATGAGTCCAACCTCAGGGACTCACCTCCAGCCAGCCTGTCCCATGGCCCCTACAGAGCTAGCCTGGGCTCCCACTCTGACTGCAGGGCCCAGCACCTCCTGGACCTGTCAGAAGTAAGCCCCGTGTCAGGGCCATTCCTCAATGTCTGGACCCATTGGACCTCCTGTGAGACAAGCAAGCTCAGGAGTGTCTCTGTAGCCCACTTCCTTGGGGCCGAGGCCACAGGACATTTCTGTCCCCAGAGTGCATACACAGGGGCCATGGGTGGGCTGTGGGAGTGGCCATGAGGCGGGTGGGAAGCTCACACTGTCTCCATCTGGTCAGGTGCTCTACAAGCTGGCCTGGAGCGAGAGTGTGGAGAGGGACTGTGCCGCCACCTGCGCCAAGAAGTGAGAATGTCCCCTGTTCCCAAAACCCAAAATCTAGTCCCCGAACTCCCACCTCCCTCCTCAACGCCACACCAAGCCCCTCCCTCATGATGCCTGCTCCTCAGGCTGTCCACCACAGCTCCATCCTGTCCTCGCCCAGCCCTCCACCACGCCCACTTCCCCAGGGCCATCTGTCACACACACACATACACACACACACACACACTTCTCTCCTTTGCACATTTAGCCTCAGAAGTGGTTTCTGTTCCCAGGTTCGCCGATCACCTGCACAAGTTCCAYGAGAAGGACAACGGGGCGGCAGCTGGTGATTTGTGGCAGTGATACCAGGGTCACCCCTGCAACAGTGTGGCTGCGTCCCCACCCCTGCTTGATCAGTTGCTTCTAATGAGTTAGGCTTCCCCTGACACCCCCCACCAACATGGAAACTGTCCTTGTCCTTGGACCAATAGCTTCCAGAGGTCCCAGGTCCCCTTGGGCTCCTTAAAAGAATGTCAGAGCTACATCAGGGTTCCCTAGGTCCAGACAGCCCCCTAATGCCTGGCCAGGCTGACCAAATGCTCCACCTGCCTGGCCTGGGCTCCGCACACAGCCTGGCCTCTAGCACTGGTGGCAGAGACCCCGGCTGTGACACTCACCTGATTTTGGCATTGGTTAAACCAGTTTGGACTCCTTAGGCCTGGGCTGTGACATCCCCTTTTGCTCCCCTAGGATCTCCCTCACACCCTGAACGAGATGTCAGGTCCTTCCTGTAGGCTACTGGGCTTTGAGTCAGACCACCCTGGTCTGCCTCTGTCACTGATCCACCCCCCCCCCATAGAACATAGACAAGGTTAGATAAGAACTAGTTTACTCATGCCCCACCCCCATCCCCAGAGTATGGGACAGTTTCTGCTACCGCCTCCCTGCCCCCAGACACAAGTGATTTCTGCTTTTTTCTTTAGCAAGATATTCTGGTTTCTAGACGAGGAAGTGCCTCCAACAAGATCCCAGGGCCCCCAGGCTCCTCAGACCCAAGAACTAACTAGAGGGGTCCCAGTGCCTCTCAGCCATGCAGAACTGACTGTGGRCCACCGTAGCATGGCCACCTCTGGGGGCCACTGGCAGATCTCCTTAGTTAGGTTTGCGTTTCACGCTCAGCCTTGCATGTTTGAATAAACCATAGTTGCAGCCACACTGCTGCCCATGCTCTGTGACTCCTGAGCTCTGGGACACTGGGGTTCTGGAGGTCAGTAGATGCCTGCAGCACCACCCCAGGATCAGGGCTGGTCTGTCCGTATGGAGCAGGGCCCTAGCATACAGGAAGTCTCTCCCGCTCTTCCTGTCCTCAAGAATTCCGAATGCATTCAGAGTTTTGCTGAAACCCAAACCCACAGCATCTGGGCTCTCTTGGGCAGGCTTGCAACCCCATCAAAAAGGGAAACCAGTTCCTTTCTTCACAGCCAGCTGTCAGGCTGTGGTTGGGGCCTGATATTTTGGTGGGTCCACATCCCTTCCTGGGGAATCCCTGCTTCCCTTTCTGTACACACCAGAGCTGGATCTAGAGCAGGGCTCCTTTCCCTTGGGTCCCCCAGGTGCCAGAACTCACACCCATCAGGGCTTTGAACACCAGTCTTGCATGGGGATTCCCTGGAACCACTGGACTGTGCCACCTCATCCCCACGCCAGCCCCACTCACATACAACATCTCATTTTGGTCTATGGTGGCTGGCCTTACCCACTAGGCTGGCTCCAAACCTGGCTCCTGCCCTGCAGTCTACCAGACCAGAGTCCCCTGTGCCACATCTGCCTCGAGCTTCTTCCTGAATGCTAGAGCTTGTGCATGCAGGGGTCTTCCTTTGAGTTCTTACTACCAGGACCCCTCACCATCTCTTCCCTCAGAACTTCCTCCAAGGCCCCAGAGCTTCCTGTACTCCAAGATACAAGATAGACTGTCCTCTCTGACCCTCATTCCTGTCCCTTGGCTCATCACCCCTTCTCCCCCTCCCAGCCACTTTCGTTTCTCCCACCAGTTCCTCCTGGTAGGTAGGTTACTCAGAGTTACTAGGCTTCTGGCTCCTCCTCACTGCCTCCTCCCAAGGGGTCAGAGCTATTGTTCCACCCTGATCCTCTCTGGCCACTGACAATCCACCAGCAGCAAGCTCAGGGCACAACTTGTACCCGGGTCAGTCCACAGTGGGCCAGGCTGTCCAGGGGCAGAGCCTCCATCAATCCCGTTCTGCTGGCAGCCACCCTACCCCCCAATTCCTAGCCTCATGCATAGGTGTCCTGGTTCCCAGCCAGCGTCCAGCCTGTGGGCACCTCCATCGATGGCTGGACTACTGCCTACTTCATTAAGTGTTTGCTAGCCAGGTCCTGCTGCGAGGGCAGCTGGTACAGTGTGGCAGGGAAGGGGCCAGGTAGCAGGCCTCCACCGAGACCTGGCTAGCTTTAGTGCCCCTGTGGAGGGCAGCAGGTGGGAGGTCCAAGCCAGCCTCCACCTTCACCAGGCACTGCTCCTCCTGGACCCACCCTTTCCATCCACAAGATGCACATTAAAACGCTGGAGGGGTGGAAGGGCTCTCTACAAAGGTCAGAGGCCACTGTGGGTGGGGGAGGCCAACAGATGGAGGCATTCCCAGTCAGCAAAGTCACCATGGCAGGCCACAGAGCTGCTAGAGGATGGGGAGGGCAGCTGACTCAACACCTCTAGGGGCTGGAGCAGGGAGCTAAGACGGTGAGGAGGGGAGGTGCCCAGAAACCACTGCCCCACCCCAGGGGCACCCAGGTCTCGTGTGGAAGCACCTCTTCCACACTCCTGCTCACATGATATCCCCTTCCTTCGGACCTCTTCCGGGTCCGCTGGAGTCCTGCACCCCTCCAGAGCAGACTGCTGGAGGTCGGGCTCCGGGATCAGACTACAGGGCCTGCCAAGCCAGCAGGACAGTGTTCTTAGCGCGGCTCCTCTGCGCTAACCTCCTCAGGCCGAGCTCGGAATCCCGGTAAGAGTGAGGAAGCCGTGGCTGTGGCATCCCGTGAGCCCATGTGACGACCAACGTCTCCTGGAGTGGCGCCAGTCTCCGCCAGTCTGAAATTGGGAGGTGGGGCCGTGTTCGGGATGTCCTCCCCGCCCCGGGGCAGCGGCCTGTGGCCCCTCTGGGAGGGCTGGAGAGGGGGCGTGGTGCGCGCCCTCGGGATTTATGAGAACCAGACACAGACTTCCTCGGTTGCGACATCTGGGCCTCCTCGAGGCTCCCCATTGTCCCCGCAGTCAGGGTCCAGACACAGCGTCCATCCCTGCCTAGCTCCGGTCACCAAGGGGCGCTAGGAAAGTATCCACGCCCGGTCCCCCCACCACACAGGGCACCTTTCGGGACGCACAGCCACGTTCTGGGAGCCAGCACCCCGGGAGACGCCTCGGGGCGGGCTGGATGCCGGCGCCCGGTCTGAGGCCGGCTGCGCGACCCGCGACCACGGCCCCACATGGGATGGATCCTGGCTATTTCCCAACCCCTCTGGCCGCTGGCCGCGCGACCTCTGCTCTACCACAGCTAAGGGGAACCTAGCCTGGGTCGCTGAAGCCGCCGCCGCCAGGCTGAGGGCTGGGGGCGCGTCAGGGGCGGGGCCTGCGCGGCGCGAGGCGGGAGGGGGCGGGGCTCGAGGCGGGGGCGGGGCCCGGAGGCGCGCGCCGCGGGGGCGGGGGGCACGACGGGGAGCGGGCGGGGCGCGCGCCGCGCGGGGCTGAGCTCGGAGCGCGCGGGGCTCGGCAGCCCCGGGAGCTGCGCGGGGGCCGCGCCGGGACCGCGAGGAGCGCACGAGCCTTCGAGGCTGTGAACCAGGGAGGGAGGAGCCGCCGCAGCTGGCTCCAGCCCGGAGGGAACCAAACCCGCCGCGGACCATGAGCCGCCGGGCCCCGGGAGCCCGGCCGCAGTCGGGGCAGCGCTCCGCCGGCGCCCCGGCCCGCGCGGCCCCAGCTGCACGCCTGTAGGTAAGGCCTGCTGGTCCTCAGTTCCCGGTCCCCTGGTCCCTCACCGGGGCTCTCGGCAGTCCCTGAGGGCGTGCGTGTGTGTGCGCACCGCTGCCCCGGGAAGCGCGGCCGCACGCGCCCTGGTCCGAGCGTGTCGTCTTTGTGTGCGCGGGTGGGAGGGAAGAGGACGCGCGAGCGAGGGATGCGCCCCCTCTGGGATCGGCTCCCGGACCCCCATCCGGGGCCGGGCGGGGAGTGGCGAGATGGGTCGAAGCGCCTCCGGAGCAGCTGCGCCCTCGCCCCCTCCTCTGACCCGGGCTGGGCAGTGGAGCGAGCGCAGCTGGTCCCCGGAGGCGGGGTCCTTGGAAGTGGGGAGGGGACGCTCAGGTCTCTTTCCCGGGAGGGAGGAAGGGGTGGGTCAACCTGGAAGGAGCACGAAGGCCACGAGCTGGAGTGGGGAGAGATCCCATCTAGGCCACAGTTCCAGGCTGGCACGCCCTCCATTCGGCCCAGGCCCTCTTTCCCACGGCCACCATTCCAGACCCGCCCACCCTAGAGTTCCCGGACAGCCCGCGTTAGAGGGATGGATTGCCGARGGTGCCCCAGAGTCCGGCGCCTTTAAGAAGGGGCGGGTTCGTGCCCTCCATTCAGGCCCTTCGGCCTTGGCCATTGAGGAACCTGAAGGCAGCGCGAATCAGAGTCGCGCCAGAGCAGCTGCCAGGCCAGGAAGGGATGGGGACCAACCCCGCCCTCAGCAGCCCCCAAAGTAGGGTCTTCAGGGAGAGTCCGCAGTAACCCGGGCCTCTGAGGAGCCACGCAGGGCAGACTGGACAGCCTCGGGAGGGACCATGAACATGAATAAGCCCGGATCTGTGTTCACACCCGGTCGGTGCTAGGAGAGCTTCCGACCTGGGTTGAACCCGACCTCTTCCTCTGCCACTTGAGCCAACATCAACTACCCTGCAAAATGAGGATGGTTCTTCCTGCTTCCTGAGGGGTGACAGGCAGGAGTTGCTTCCCTCCAACACAGGGCAGCCTGCGCCTCTGGGGGACAGGGGGCCCAAGGCATGGCTTCTGCTACTGCAGGGGTGATCCGAAGCCCTCCTGTTCTGCCCGTGCTAGGTGGGAGGGAACACATGGCATCCCCCCAGCCTCCCTGCCTGGTCCAGAAGCCACTGGCTGGGGGAGTGACATAGAACTTTCAGCCTGGGGGCTTTGAATGAGCAGCAGTCCCTCAGTCTAGCTGAGGGTCCGGGTTGAGGGGAACTCAGCAGACTTTCCCACTGGGGCTTCCTTCTACTCTTTCTTGTGTGTGTGCAGTGCTGGGAATTGAACCCAGGACCTTGTGCATTCGAGGCAAGCACTCTACCTGCTGAGCTATATCCCCAGCCCCTCCTTCTACTCTTTCCCTAGAGGTCTCACCCCTGAAGTCCCAGAAGCACCATCCTGGGGTGTGAGTGATCACAGGCAAGAGCTGCTGCTGCTGCTGCTGCCACCCACCTGGTCCAGCGGGTCCAGTTACCCAAGGGCTAGTGCACATGGTTTTCCTACCCTCATTGTGAAAAATCCACCTACAGTTTCCAAACCCCTCTTTTCTACTTAGTGTGGCCCTCCGAGGACTCTAGAACTCACATTTCCGGGTTGGTTCCCTTGAGGATGTCAGATGGGGGTGTCCACCCAGATGGACCSTGGGCCTCCAGGGCTGAGCTGCTGGTCTGGAGCTGACTTGTGTCAGGATAAGGGCATCAGTGCTGTTTCTCTGGTGATGGTCACAATAGCCCTGTGGATTTGGCACTGTTCTCATTCCCGTCTTACAGAGGTGGGGACAAATTTAAGGGAGGTGGAACTTGCCCACAGACCCTCAGCCCACAAACCAGGCCTCCTGCCACTTTTCTCTGACAGCCCCGAGGGCACAGGGATTGGGAGCTGGGAACCTGCTGGCTGTGGTCCCCACAGGGGTCTGATCCGGGCTTGGGCCTGCCTTCCCTCCTGATGATCCCCACCACCCATATGGGCCCACGGCGGTGGCCAGAACTCCCGGGCCTGGGGAGGTTTCTCCCCCCTCCCTTGGTTGGGTCATTTTTCTGGCTGTGCTCTCTCCCTGGGGATACAGGTGTGACCTTAACATGAGGTCACAGCCCACACCTGTTTGGGCAGCAAGAGGCAGAGCATCCCGTGTGGGAACTCAACGTCATCTGGTTCCTCCAATTGAAGCCGGGTTGGGCTCCAGAACAGGGCCACACAGGGGCAAATGTAACAGCACTTGGGGGGCCACAGTCTGTTGGAGGAAACAGGTCACCAGCCATGTGATGTCATGAGGAGCAAGGTAGGGGGAAAACAGGATCAAGGGGCGGGCGTTCTGGGCCTCCAGACTGCCAGCTACCAAGGCAGAGCGATGGGAGTAGGCAGGGTGACACRGGCTGGATGCTGAGACTGGAGCAGAGGACAGGCAGGGTTGGAGGGAGAGGGCGTGTAGAACTGCCATGTGCTGAGTTTGAGGCTCCCTGAGATCAGCCAGGCTGGGAGCTGAGGAGCTCAGAGAAAGGCCCTGGGACCCTTAATCAGCACCTGAAGTGCCCAGAGTTCTAGGCTGCTCAGGACTGAGGGAGCCATGGAGGTCGGAGTTAGGAGTCACAGGTATGTGGGTCATGAAAAGATCAGAAGGCAGACTGGTGCRCTGAGTGGCAGCACTGAGGGGAGCATCCTGCAGATCTGGGGGGCTGGGCTGGGGCTCATGTGAYGTCCGTAACACTGGGAGAGAGGGAGAAGTTGAAAGGTTCAAACTAAAGCTGGAGAGGGGCCTCTCTGCTCTGCAACCTGAGGAAGGCAGCATGGAGTGGGAGAGAGTAGGGCCAGTGCAGCTGGAGCCAGCCCAGCCTGCTCTCCACCTTCAGAGCCTGTTGAGGAACTGTCCAGCACTGGGTGCTCCTGAAGGAAGATGGGCCTACCTCTTGAGACCCCAGGTCCCAGCCTCTCTTCTTGTCCTGGCCCCCATTTCTACTCATCTGACCCTGATCAAGTCCCAGCTGTGGATTTTCCTGCCCCTCAGGTTCAGAGTTCTCCTTCCTTTCCCCCAGTGCAGGGACTGGGTCCTGCCACTGTGCCTTCAGGTTCTCCGGGAACAGTCCCTGCTGGGTGTAGTGTGTGCTCCAGGAAGGGACAGGACTGGAACTTGGCTCCAGATGCCCCTCTTGCCCATTCTGCAACCCTAGGCCTCTTCCATGGTTCTTGGCACATAGTGAGAGCCCAGGAAAAACCCAGTTAATGAGGGGCTGTCGCCTCCCTGGCCGGAACCCCATTTCTTCATCTGCACAAAGGGACAATCCTTCTTATAGGGAAGATGTGCGTAGTCAGGTTTTAAACAGGCATGGTCCCCTTAGATTCTTTTTCTTTTTGGTATTGGGTATTGAACCCAGAGGTGCTCTACCACTAAGCCACAACCCCAGCACTTTTTTTTGGGGGGGGGGACAGGGTCTCACTTAGATGCCCAGGCTGGCCTCAAATTTGTGATCCTCCTGCCTCAGCCTCCTGAGTTACTGAGATTACAGGCGTGCACCACCATGCCTAGCTGAGAAGTGGGTTCCTAAAAGCTGACCTTGGCTACACTGTGGAGCCTGTATTTATGGGAAGAGGCCTGAGAAGAAGCCCCGGCAGCTTCTGCCCAGAGCGGTGGACACAGGATATTTAAGAAGTTGAAGCAGAAGAGCTTTGACTTTTAAACAAATTACTTACTCAGTCCTCATGACAGCCCTGTGACATTGGGGCTGCTCTGACTCTCCATCGTAACAGGGAAACTGAGGCCCCAGGAGGCCAAGGGACCATCCAGCTAGGAAGTGGGGGCCAGGGTGTGTGTGTGCTGGGATTCAAACTGGAAAGGACTTGCTTCAGATCTCAGGGCTTTTAACCACTCCACTGTCCCAATGTGTCAAATGAACAGATGTTGGCAGGGAGATGCCCAAGCCGTAGGGGCCCCTGTGATGGGGAGCAACTGTCTAATGCAGCCATGCCCCCCTCCTTGAGACTGAGGTCTGCAGGCTCCAGAGCCAGCAGGCTTGTCAAGGGTTGTCAGTAAAAGCTAGGGTGCTCTGCAGAAGAGCTCCCCCGGGGGGGGCGGGCGGACACACTCACACACACACACACACACACACACACACACACAGTGACAGAGGATGGGTTGCTTAAGAAGCCCGGGGTGTTCTGGACTGTTCTAAAAGCTTCCTCTCAGCCATGCTCCTCCAAGCAGGTCATGGATCAGGAAGCTCCATCCCAACTGTCAAGTTCAACTCTGGAATCCAACGGGCCTCCCTCTTGAGACCCCAGGCCCCAGCTCCTCGTCTTGTCCTGGCCCCTGTTTTCTTGCTTGGGAAAGCCAAGACCACCCAGGGCCCCCTGCCACTCATCCAAACAGAGGCAGGGTCTCAAGGACTCTTAATCCACACCTGTCCCTGAYACCTGCATCCACTCTGCCCCGAAGTCCCAGCAGGTTCAAGGGTGTTAAGAAGAAAAATCATGCCCACTTCTGCACTCTGCCAGGTTCATAGGGTGAGCACCGATTCTGGGTGGGATGTGCTGGGGAATTCCAGTTGTAGCCTCCCTCGGGCAGGAGGCCCTGGTCACAGCTTGCCCATGGAGACAGTTTCTGGGAAGGTGAGGAATGGGTTGGCCTCAAGAACCAGCCCCCAAGTGTCYGACAGCTAGTGGAAGTCCCTCCAGGGTGGAGGGACGTTGGTCTGAGTTTTGCGTGGTCAGGGGTACCCAGAGAGGGAGCTGGGGTGCCCCTGAAAGGAACAGTCCTGCAGAGGCCTGGGGGCACTAGAGGAAGAGCAGTCTTAGTGTCAAGTGCTGACCAGTGGTCAGGCCAAGCCAGCGCTAAAGAAAGACACGATGAAGCATGGTTAGGACCAAAGGATGGTGGGAGACAGACTGGGGCTTTGCCTCCTCTTGGTGTGTTGGGGGGAGGCCTCAGTTTCCCTATAGCAAGTGGTTATTGGAGGGTGGCGCTGCCAGCCTCGAACAGAGGA